CCCCCCCCCCCAAAAAAAAAAAAAACACCCTCACTCTCAATCATCTCACAAAATTCCAGTGAAAAGTAAAAGAAAAACATTTATCTGATGCACCTGCCCCCCTACGGAGACACCAATGACGCCCATAACTCACCTGATATGCAGACGATCACATTGGCGTGAAGAATGATCAATATTTCCCAAATTATATCCATCCTCTGTCTTCATTCCACGTGCATTACGCACAGATCAGAAAAGATTCGAAAGGAGGAAACGGGGTTCTTTCTCTTTCAGTTGCGGATGTCCTGCTGTCTCAGGCTGAATCCCGCTGTACACCTTCCACCAGGTATTTTGCACACCAGACGCATAGCAGGTGATCAAAGCCTATAAGGAATAAATGTAACAATTCCAGAGGTGGTGGTGGGGAGGGGGGAGAGGGGGGTGGAGAAAAAAAATGGATGAACTCCAAGAGAAAACAGCCGAGCAAGGGACGCTGATCCTCCTGTCAGTTCACTGTATTATTCCAGTGCGCCCTTAGAACGCGACACGTCCGCCCATCCATCCGGCGCCGTTTCACAGAGTGGGCATCCCGTTCTCACCGCGGAGAGTCGCACATGATCGTGTCAGTGTGGAGCTCTGTGTGGAGAGGGAGAGAGGGAGAGTATAGTTTAATGAGGTGGGGCAGCTGTGGGATCGGACTAACACCTGGAGACGCCTCGCAACTCAGAAACTCGCATCGCCAGGTGGCGATCCTCCGATCCAGACTTTTCCGCCGTCTCTGACGAGGGAACCGAGCGTCGAGCAGCGCAGAATGAAAGTAAGACTTCCTGTGCGGACTGTCAAAATTAAGGCTTCCGGACGGTATACTTCGACTGTTCCCTCATTACCGTTTCCCCCATCTCATATAGCAATGATGACAAATAATAACAAATAGTGTAAGTAAAAGGTGCAAAGAAAACATCAGGAAACATAAAATGTACTCCATAAAGAGACTCAAATTCTAGTAATAATGTGATGATAGTCAATCAAATAGGTGTGTCCACATTATTAAGTTCAAGACTTTCATTATTTTTGCTACTCATTGAAGCACTGAAACCCTCGTTATCACACTGAGCACTAACACATTCCCCTTTTAATTCTTGTCACGGCCGTTTCCCTAATCCATGCTTTTAATTTGTACACACATCCACCTGATTTCCGGTCAGGCTCCGACTAACTGTGTTGAGCTTGATGCAAGGTTTGCTTCGCTTGCCATCCCACCACACACCCAGGGCACACGCGCGCACACACACGGCACGCACGCGTGCACACGACTAGAGTGCGGATTCTTCGAAGTTAACAGCGCAGATATTAGTCCGGATGTTCGAAGTGTGTTTAATGACAGGGAAATAAAACACACTTACAGCAGACCGGAGGCAAATGTTCACGGCACAGAAAAAAAAGAAAGAGATCGGGGAAGGAAACTCCGAACCGCGCAGCTTTTGACGCACCAGAGAATGATCCGTCCTGGAAACGGGACTCTGCGTTGAGAACTAAAAGTAGACAACGGAAGACGATTAATTAAAGCAATCCAACTTGGCAATAAAAAAGATTTAAAAAAGACAATCTGTCCTCAGAGGAATCGATGGTAATAATGAGCCAGGAACTAATAAAACTCCAAACGTGAGGAATGGTGCATCACAGACGCTCTGTGTCCTCACTAACGGCTCACAGTAGTGGTCTTGGCGGCTGCTCCAGTCTGGCACAGGGCACCCAGCGATGCCATCCAGGTCTGCGGATATGGCTCAGTGTACGCTATTAGGGATTCACGAGGAGCAGCGGGGCGCGCGGCCAAATGCAGCGGATGCGCGCACACTGGCGGGCGGGCGGGCGGGCGGAGGGGGGGGGGATGATGAAAACCGCGCACTGCAGGAGAAAACAAACATGTGTTTAGGTGTTGAAATATTTGTTGTGTTGAATGCAAACCGTTTGAGAGAAAGAAGGCAAAAGACACGTGTGGTATCACAGTGGGGTTGACTACAGAAAAAGCAGGTTTTGGCTGCAAGGGAGATTTTGAGCAAATATCGAAAAGACACAAAAACACAGTAAGGGAGAGATGAGAGAGTGTCAACAATCAAGATCATGTCCAGAGGACTGCCAGTCTCTTTACCAACTAAAACTTCCATGTTCGCAGGAAACATAGTTTCCCCTGTTATATCCAGTGTCTTTTCAAAATAAACTTTAATGTTCACAGGTAACGTAGCGTTTCCGCTGTTATATCCATAGTGTCTTTACAAAATAAGTGTCCAGGTTCACAGGAAACACAGTTTTCGCTCATTACTATCATACAGGCTCTTTTCAAAATAAACTTCCACCATAGTTTTACTTACTTTTTAGGTGTACTTGGTTAGGTTTAGACCACAAAAGTACTTGGTTCGGCTTCGGGAAAGTGGTTCAGGTTAAAATATGTATGTTTGTTACATAAAATAAATGCGATTGTTCCTTGTGCTACGTATGCAGCGCTAGGTAAGTTACGTAACAAAAGTGATGTAAAATAAGCCAACGTCAGGTTGGTTTCAGAAGGGACACAAACAGGTGAAAGTTTGTGATGTTTGACCAAACCAAGCTTCCGATAAACAGCCATTATGAACAGGAGTGATTTAAGGCAAGAAAAACATTGTTTATAGGGCCATATGGCTAATGTTTTAAGACAGACTTGAAAAAATGTGAACCTACCGTTTAACCATCACTAATGTACCCCCATAAGTTGTACGTCAGTAGAAATAAATGGGCTTGAGTAAGTTGTAACGGGTTGTATATGGACCCAAATGCAACACACAGGATTCCAGAGATCTTTGGCTTTTATTGCTAACTTCAAATATAGCAGGCAGAGTTCAAGCAGGGTCAGGATCAGAAGGCTGGTGGGTTTACCGGGAGTCAGGCAAGGCGGGTAGAACAGGGGCAGGCAGGATCGGTAACAGGAGATCAGTCCGTGAGAGTGTGCTGGAGAGTCTGGCATAGAACCGAAGAACAATCTGGCAAATGTGTCTGGGAGGCAGGAGTCTATATAGGGGCTTGATTACTGATCAGAGGCAGGTGAGTGAACAGGTGAAGGGAGTTTAGACTAATGAGGAGGGAGTGACTGACAATAAGAGTGAGGAGGGTGTGGAGCTGAACTGTGACAGAACCCCCCCTTTAAGGGACGGCTCTCGACGTCCCAAAAACAACCACAACCAAGCCGGGTGGGCGGAGGGGTCCTGGAGGAGGGCTAATATTCCTCCGTTATCACCATCATCGGTGGGTGAGTTGTCCGGGCCAGAAGGCGGCTTCTCTTCATCCTCCCTAACGTCTGAAGCTACAGATGGAAGAGAGGGAACAGAGTCTAGCTGGGTAGCCCCAGTGGGCACAGGACCCTTGGAGGGCTGGTCAGGATGGCGGCGGTGAAACTCCCTGATGAGAGGGGCATCCAAAACGTGTCGAGCTGGGACCCAGGATCTTTCTTCTGGACCGTAGCCCTCCCAGTCGACCAGGTATTGCAGGCCTCTCCCACGGCGACGGGAACGAAGCAGGCGGCGAACCGTGTAGGTAAGCCCTCCATCGATGAATCGAGGTGGTGGCGGAGGCTGTACAGCAGGAACCAGTGGGCACTCTCGAACCGGCTTCAACTTGGAGACGTGGAATGACGGGTGGACCTGCATGGTCCGGGGCAGCTTGAGCCTCACTGCTGCTGGATTGATGACCTTCAGGATCTCGAATGGCCCAATGAACCTGGGTGCCAACTTCTTAGACTCTACCCGCAAGGGTAGGTCCTGGGTCGATAGCCACACCTTCTGACCAGCCTGGTAGATGGGGGCTTTGGAGCGACGCCGGTTGGCCGCTGTCGAGTACCGGTTGGCTGATCGGACGAGCGCAACTCTGGCCTCGGTCCAGGTACGGCGGCAGCGGCGGACGAAGGCTTGGGCAGAGGGGGAGGAAACCTCTTTCTCCAGGGCCGAAAACAGTGGCGGTTGAAAACCGTAGGCGCACTGAAACGGGGACATTCCAGTGGCAGAGCTGGTCAGGGTGTTGTGGGCGTACTCCACCCACAGGAGCTGCTGGGACCAGGACGATGGATGCTTGGAGACCAAGCACCGTAGAGCCGTCTCCATCTCCTGGTTCTTGCGCTCAGTCTGGCCGTTAGATTGTGGGTGGTAGCCAGATGACAGGCTGGCTGTGGCCCCGATGAGTGCACAGAACTCCCTCCAGAACACGGATGTAAACTGAGGTCCCCGGTCAGAAACCACGTCAGTGGGGAGACCATGGAGCCGGAAGACATGCAGCAGGACCAGCTCAGCAGTCTCTTTAGCCGAGGGGAGCTTGGGCAAGGGTACAAAGTGGGCCATCTTGCTGAACCGATCTACCACTGTCAGGATGGTGGTATGTTTGTTGGACAGTGGTAGACTGGTAACAAAGTCCAAGGAGATGTGGGACCAGGGCCGATGGGGCACAGACAGAGGTTGCAGGAAACCAGCGGGAGCCTGGTTGGATGGTTGCAGACAGGACAGGCATTGATTAACTCCTTTCTCCAGAGTAGCCCACCAGAACCTCTGCCGCAGAGCATCCCTGGTACGCTGGCTCCCGGGGTGGCAAGTGAGTTTGGAGCTGTGGGCCTACTGGAGGACGTCGGACCTCAGGGTCTGAGGGACGAACAGGCGGTCAGGAGCTAGGACTGGGCTGGTCCTCCAGGGCGGCCTTGACTCTCTCCTCTACCTCCCAGGTGACTGAAGCAACCAAGACAGGGGCAGAAAGGATATTGTCTTTGCAAGGGATGGAATCGCCCTTATCAACAAACTGGCAGGACAGGGCGTCAGGCTTGACGTTGCGGGTACCGGGCCGGTAACAGAGGGAAAAGTTGAATCGGGTAAAAAACAGGGACCATCTGGCTTGCCGAGAGTTCAGTCTCTTGGCAGACTGAGTGTACTCGAGGTTCTTGTGATCAGTCCATACCAAAAAGGGCAGGCTCGTCCCCTCAAGCCAGTGACGCCACTCCTCAAGGGCCAGCTTAACAGCTCTCGGTTACCAATGTCATAGTTCCTTTCAGCAGGTGAGAGCCGCCTAGAAAAGAATGCACAGGGGTGGAGTTTCAGGTCGCTGGCAGCCCGCTGGGATAGGATGGCCCCCACCCTAACATCGGCGGCATCCACCTCCACAACAAACTGTCTCTCTGGGTCAGGGACTTGGAGGATAAGGGCAGAGGTAAACCGGGCCTTAAGGTTCTGGAAGGCCTCCTCAGCCGAGGGTGACCACTGGAACAGCACTTTGGATGAGGTAAGGGCCGTGAGTGGGGCAGCCACGGTGCTATAGCCATGGATGAACCTCCGGTAGAAGTTAGCAAACCCCAGGAATCGTTGCTGTAACGGGTGTAGTTAGGACCCAGGAGCAGTACGACAACACCAGGACTGGTATGATTTGAGTTCTTTATTTGTAACACACGACAGGCAGAAGATTCTCTTGAAGAATCCGACAGGTTTCTCGTGGTCAAGGACAGAAGGGCTGAGTAAGTTACCATGACAGAGGCAAGGCGAGGTAGTCCGGGACAGGCAGGGTCGGCAACCGGGAATCAGTCCATGGGTGAGTGCGGGAAAGTTGAGCATGAATGCAAAGAACGATCTGGCAGTGAGTGTGTCTGAGGCAGGGGTTTAAATAGTGAAGAGGCAGAGTGAGCAGGTGAGAGTGATGAGCTGAAGAGGTGAGTGTGACTGGCAGGTGCACTGAATGAACTAATTAGGTGAGTGAAAGGTGGATAGAAGTGACAGAGCTGTGACAGTTGCAGCTGTTTACATGAGTCAGGGACGGGCCAGGACGTAACAGCTGACACCTTGGCTGGATCCATCTGCGATGTACCCCAGGAAGGAGACAGATGAGGCGTGGAATTCACACTTCTCTGCCTTAACGAACAGAGAATTCTTTAGGAGGCGTTGAAGGACTGCTTGGACATGGTGAATGTGCTCCTCTTGGGACCTGGAGAAAATCAGAATGTCGTCAAGGTAGACGAACACCTGTTTGTTTAACATGTCTCTCAGCACATCATTCACCAGGGCCTGGAAGACAGCTGGGGCATTGGTGAGACCGAAGGGCATGACCAGGTATTCATAATGTCCAGTGGGGGTGTTGAAAGCCGTCTTCCACTCGTCACCCTCTCGGATCCGGACCAAATGATAGGCGTTACGCAGGTCTAGCTTGGTGAAGATGGTAGCCCCCCGCAGCAACTCAAAGGCAGAAGAGATGAGTGGGAGTGGGTAGCGGTTCTTGATGGTAATGTCGTTGAGGCCCCTGTAGTCAATGAAAGGCCTCAGTGACTTGTCCTTTCCCACGAAGAAGAACCCTGCACCAGCAGGTGAAGAAGAGGGACGGATGATCCCAGCAGGTAGAGAGGAATTTATGTATGCCTCCATGGTCTCTCTTTCAGGTGCAGATAAGGAATACAGGCGACCCCTGGGTGGAGTGGTACCTGGTTGCAGGTCAATGGCGCAATTGTAGGGGCAATGTGGAGGCAGAGATGAGGCCCTGACCTTACTGAATACCTCCTGATAGTCATGGTATTCAGTAGGCACCCCTGACAGGTCCGAAGCAGAGCTGGAACAGACTGACTGCCGGGGTGCAGCAGCTTGTTTCAGGCAAATCAGGTGACAGGATGAGCTCCACCCCAGGATGGCTCCTGTGGCCCAGTCTATGTGGGGGTTATGGCGGCAGAGCCAGGAGTAACCCAGGATTAATGGATGCTGGGGTGACCGCAGGATAAGAAACCGGATAGTCTCATGGTGGTTACCAGACAGGAGCATACGGATTGGCA